CCCTCAACCGTTAGTATAAAAGGGCGTAAACAATCGAAAGTCGTCAGCGGACGTAGACGAAGTAAAGCATAAATGATGAAAAGCTACGAAAACTCAAAACGAAACAGCACAGACAAAGAAGACAAACTAAAGACAACGAAGATTTAAAGGCTGAAGTGAACTTTAGTAAAACTACAACAAGAAGAACCTGCCTTAACACGAAGGAACGAACATTATTGAACATTTAAGAACTGATAGTTATTTAACATTGACTGTAACGATTCGCTACCTCCCGTAGAAAATAAATAATTTTCTAACATGTGTTTTGGTTTAAATAACATTGGGATGGGAGCGTATTGTGCGTAAAAAACTATAATGATCCACTTAAAAACTAAAACTACATGTGTCCCAACAACTTATGAAAGTGATTGTCTGGGCCCCATATGCCATAAGAGATATAACTAACTTAAAAGCTAAAACTACATGTGTCCCAACAACTTATGAAAGTGATTGTCTGGGCCCCATATGCCATAATGCTCTGCGAACGAATTATTTCAGCTCCATTTTGTTCACAGGGGATCTAATATAACATTATAGAACAATTAAGTTTCATTAAAATTTTCAAAGTTAATAATTAACAGAATATGAATATAATTTTTTATGTCATACAGGCATAGCATTCATAATCACATAGGTTTTATACGTTGTTTGTTTCTACAAATTTCGGCAGAGCACCAGTAAGTTATTTGAGAGGTTATAGTCCGTCAATAAAGATAGATATCGCAAATGTTTTACGCTAGATATGTCACACATACCATTAATTAATTTATAGCATAGTAATATAACATCCGGTTACTTTCGCATGCGGGTAAGGGCTGAGTCAACTGCCAATTCGAGTACTCCGAAGGTAAAGAATGTTTGATTTTTAATCACCAATAGTCAATGTGACATTTCACATCCTTCTATAGCAGAATTTGCAGATATAATTCTCGACTCATGGGTACGAAGGAGCACTCAGTGGGTGGGAATTTCGGAGGCTCATGAAAAGGGCGGTATACTAGTAGTCACTTCCTAAAAAATTGTCCACAAGATCAAGTTAGCGAGCTATCGGAAAGCTCGAGAAGAGTAAATGCGGCATTTAATTGAACTCAGTCAGACAATTCCAAAAATTAATATTCAGCGTATTTGTACGTGGTAAAGAAAGACCCGGACTTCGTGATTTCTCCATGGCTTATAGACCTCCCTAATGCTGACGTGTTAGCAAGTACTAGCGCGCGCGACCCGCCGAAGGACGAAAGTTGCACAGAAAAATTCAGAGGGTAAAATTCACCCCAGTTAAGGTCAAAATTTACTCGCTCTGCGAGAGTAACAATCTATGGGGCAGAAATTACCCTATATCTAGGGTAACAATTACACCATTGGTTGACCAATGGGTAACAATTACACCAATCTCGGGTAACAATTACACCAATCTCGTGATGGGTAAAACTTACCCCCTTAAAAGGGTAAAGCGCTCTTTTATCCGGGGTAGAATTTCGCTGGGGTAATATTTACTCTGTTGAAAGTTCCCGGTCACGCGATGTTTCAAAATGGCGTCGTATAATATTGCCAATTTCTGATCTATTTTCACAAAGAGCTTTAATATTGTAGAATGGTTCGCCGAGAAGGAAATCTTTATCAGAGTACGCTTTACATGGTAAGTTAATTAAAGAGCCATTTTGTGCCCTAAGTTCAACGACTAAAGCTTTGCTTTAATCATGTTTTAATATTCTTAAGAGTTGCAAATGACAGTTTATATGAAGCCGTGTTCTAGCCGTAAATCGCTTGTCACGATATCAACTCCTAATGTTTAGGCCTTATAATTAATCTTGCCTTTTTAAAATGTTTCTATTTGTTATTCTTGTTTCATTTGGCCATACCCTCTTGCTTTAAGCGCTATTAAAAGAGGTTATAGTATTATTTCTTGACAACCGATTGAGTCAAGAAAATACGACAATATTGTCAATATACAACAGAAAATAGGCTATATCAAGAAGGACAGGCAGTCAGACGGTACATAAACCGAATATTTACAATGTCCAAGTAATACTGTCCAAAATATTTAAATTTTGATTTAATATTGCTGTTGACCAATAATCCAATTTAGTATAAATTTTGCATATCAAATGAGCTTTCGCGCGTTCTGATTGGCTAGTTGACTAGTAAATCTGAGGCATTATTTACCACCTGGGTAGTAAATAATGCTTTTCAAAAAGAATGATTCGGCAAATTTGGTTTCAAAATCGACAAAATATTGAAAAAATCGTCCCAGAAAAAGAAAAAAAGCACAAAATGTTGTATTTAACTTGAAAGGTAGGATTTAGTATTATATTACTGTGTCAAACATATTCACGGACTATTTAAAACTTATTTAAAACTCCGAAACATTCGCTTCAAACGTAAATCTGAAATAGCAAAAAATATCCCGACTTTTGGGAAAAGCCGTGATATTCTTTTTAAAACAATTTTGTTTTGTATCCTATAAATATCTCAATTTGTACGATACTATTTCTTTTGACTATGTCGTGTTTTCATTGTGCTGTATGGTGTCCTTTCGCTGTATTGTACTATTTGTGTTTTTAAAACTTGTAAAGTGAAAAGTGTATTAAAACTTTTATATTAATTCGAACGATATAGTTTTACATTTCATTTTACCAAATTTCTCAGCCATTTCCTGAACAAATTAATGCTAAACAGAAACTATTTTTTAATTCTAAGTCTGGTAAAAAAGTCATTCCATCATTGTGTTTATATTCTAAGCAGAAATCGAGAAAAATAACTTTGTAATAAAGCAATAAAGTCGCACAGGAAGCCATTTTGAAAGCGTGCGTGTACAAGAAACACTGCAACACTAAACCGTAAACCGGTGGAAAACAGTTTTATTTCTGAATTTTAATTAAACTTATAGTTGGATAACTTGGATATTTTGTTTTATTCATTAAAAATTTATACTAAAACAATTATTCGCCTCAGGCTCAGTGATTACGGTGAATATTCACCTCGACTTCGTCTCGGTGAATATTCACCGGTAATCACTTCGCCTTCGGCGAATAATTGTTAATTAGTTATAGAATACAATTTACATCATTACATGGAGTTATAAGTATATAAGTTTGTTTATTTGCACAAATGCAGAATATTAAAAATATAGTTCTTGTTAAAACACGAGGTTGAGTTAGCAATGTCTAGCACCAGACAAGTTTACTTGCCAAGGAGACAGCACTGGCACTCAATGAATTAATTGACCTGTCTGCCTAATAGTATGTGACTACAAAGTATCCCATTAAGTTGTATTTGCACCCTACTCTATCATTTTACCCTGTCTATCACCAGACATTTTTACTCGCCATGGTCAAAAATATGCATGTCGACTTAAATTACTTAATGACAAAGATGTGGTAAGAAATGCTTTAATTACCATGGCACTGGACACTTCAGAAAAGTTCATTTAACTGCAAAGAGTTGTTAGATGGTTTTCACTAATATAAATGACAAGAGCTGATTGCCTAATTGTATTGGGAGCATAAACATCTATGGCTGGAGTAGAAAAAGCCATTTTGTGTTGTATTTATATTTAAATTTTATTTATAGAAATGATGGCTACATGTATCAGCAAGGCTACTGTAATGCACAAAATATATGTACCAGCTTGGGACATGCCTGTAGTTGGTTAAAGAATCAATCTATTCTGAATAGACAATTAAAAACCTACAATTTTGTTTCAATTACTGTAAGCTGTTGTCTACCAAGGTGAAAGAAATCAATGAGGATTTTCTCTAAAATTAAATTTTGACCATAATTCATTCATAAGTTATTTTAGCAAATCATGTCAACCATAATATGGTACATGAAATGGTTTCATAATCATACCCGATGAAACTAAACATCATTCTAACTAGTATTCTGTTCATACAAACATGATGCATGGTATCTGGGGGTAGGGATAAAACCTGCCTAGAGTATGTGTGTGCGCATTGATCTATGGTCATGATTTGGAGTGCAACATGTTGGCCAAGTTCATAATCATTTGAAGCTATGAACAACAGTGTTCTGTAGAATGGGTGAAACATTGCCCTGGAATGGGCTGGAAGGGTCCAGGGTGAATTATTGTGGTAACATTTAGTGACAAGATATTGCCCTTCCAAATTGAAATAATGGGTTTGATATTAAAATTGGCATCTCCCTTTCACCCACCCCTCTTTGGGAGTGTGCACCCCTCAGTAAATCTATCCCTGTCTGGGGGTATGTAGCCCATCCACTTTGTCATCCACCACACAGTAATACAAAGTCTAGGATACAGTATTTATATATTTACTCCTCTATTTATTGCATACGTTTCAGTAAAATGCTCTGTGTATTCATGGACAAGGTTGGCATTGGTTATCATGGCTTTCACAAGTTTTCGCTCATGAAACTATTTCATAATTAAAATAGTAGACTTTAGTATACCTAATTGGGTGTAATATTTAAAGCACGTTTAGGAGTGTATGCTGTAATTCAAATAATACTTTACATGCCATCTCATTAGTGTTTGTATGTAGGGTATACTAATTAGAGAGATATTTAGTTTCATTGGGTATGAAACCAATTTCACGTAACATACACGTATTATGGTTGACATGATTTGCAAAAAACTTATGAATTACGAGTGTTTGAATTATGTTTAATATCCTCCTTACTCCCACGCTTTATAATCATATTTCGCGTTTTAATTTGACACCAGTTTATCCGTACCCTTCCGTACCAGGCACCATGATATTTGAAAATATGTCATGCACATGCCTATCCACGTGTCTAGTTTACACCAATAAGAGGGTGCGAAATTTTGGCGCAAAGTACATGGATCTAAACTAAAAGACAGTCAGTGTGACCAGACGTGGTAATTTCATTACTACCGTGGTAATTTTTCGTCATTTTTGGGCAATTGTGGTAATTGGAAATTTGTGGTAATTACTACGGTAATTTCAGAACAACCGTGGTAATTTTTCGTCAAATTTCGGCCGATTGTGGTAATTTGAAATTTCCTGACCTTAAATGTACAGATTTTGGTGAAAAACCCCTAAATGTTACAAATTTTGTGAAAAAAAAACTGGTTTTGGCCTTGTTTTAGGCGAAATAAACCGGTTTTGGCCTTGTTTTAATTATAATTTTTCCGGAAAAATTTTTTTCACCCTAATTTCCGAGGGACTTGTCCGGAAAAATTTTTGTCCGGAAAAATTTTTTTCGACCTCTCCCCCCCCCCGCTCGCCAACATTTTTGGGGAATTTTTCGAAAAAATATGGTAAAATTGGGAAAATATAGCACCGTGGTAATTTCAGACCGAAAATAGTAATTTTTGAAACCGGATGTGGTAATTTGGCCTGAAAAAACCTGGTCACACTGAAGACAGTTGATAATTGTGCTCTATCTCGCTCGAAGCAGTTCGGTACTGAAGTACATAAACATTCTCCGCTTTACGTCTGGGATATCCTCAAAGGTCAAAGTGAAAGCTACTATGTTACGCGAACTGTATCAAGATTCAGTACGATTGTAGAAGGTAAGCTCAATTATGCTTTTAATATAAATATGTATTCGTGTTTACCCATACACTTGAGCTAACCTGCAGCCCCAAGAAGGACGATTTGTATTGGCTGAGATCTTTTCGAAGCAGTTAATTATCAATAGTTTCTAATTTGTGATCGACTTAAATGGCAGGCCAATATGTATAGTGTGCTGGCCGGTGTACCTGACCTCGCCTTTGCCTCGCCTGCCTTCCGGGTATTTCACAGTAGGAATACCGTCTTCGACGCTGGATGACATGTTAATATTAAATTTACAAATGTAGCAAATATATAGTCATGTATACCAACTATTATCTGTAGCAAATGTAGCAACGTAGCAAAATATATAGTCATGTATACCAACTATTATCTGTAGCAAATGTAGCATCGTAGCAAATATAGGCTATAGTCATGTAGGCCAACTATTATCTGTAGCAAATGTAGCAACGTAGCAAATATATAGTCATGCACACCAACTACTATCTGCAGCAAATGTAGCAACGTAGCAAAATATATAGTCATGTATACCAACTATTATCTGTAGCAAATGTAGCATCGTAGCAAATATATAGTCATGTAGACCAACTATTATCTGTAGCAAATGTAGCAACGTAGCAAATATATAGTCATGTAGGCCAACTATTATCTGTAGCAAACGTAGCAACGTATAGCACATATATAGTCATGTATACCAACTATTATCTGTAGCAAATGTAGCAACGTAGCAAATATATAGTCATGCACACCAACTATTATCTGTAGCAAATGTAGCAACGTATAGCACATATATAGTCATGTATACCAACTATTATCTCTAGCAAATGTAGCAACGTAGCAAATATATATAGTCTGCATGTATACCAACTATTATCTGTAGCAAATGTAGCAACGTAGCAAATATATCAGTATAGTCTGCATGTATAATACCAACTATTATCTGTAGCAAATGTAGCAACGTAGCAAATATATCAGTATAGTCTGCATGTATAGGCTATACCAACTATTATCTGTAGCAAATGTAGCAACGTAGCAAATATATATAGTCTGCATGTATACCAACTATTATCTGTATAGCAAATGTAGCAACGTAGCAAATATATATAGTCTGCACGTATACCAACTATTATCTGTAGCAAATGTAGCAACGTAGCAAATATATATATAGTCTGCACGTATACCAACTATTATCTGTAGCAAATGTAGCAACGTAGCAAATATATATAGTCTGCATGTATAGTACCAACTATTATCTGTAGCAAATGTAGCAACGTAGCAATATATATATAGTCTGCATGCATGTATATATACCAACTATTATCTGTAGCAAATGTAGCAACGTAGCAAATATGATATAGTCTGCATGTATACCAACTATTATCTGTAGCAAATGTAGCAACGTAGCAAATATATATAGTCTGCATGCATGTATACCAACTATTATCTGTAGCAAATGTAGCAACGTAGCAAATATATATAGTCTGCATGTATACCAACTATTATCTGTAGCAAATGTAGCAACGTAGCAAATATATATAGTCTGCATGTATACCAACTATTATCTGTAGCAAATGTAGCAACGTAGCAAATATATATCAATATATATAGTCATGTATACCAACTAGTATTATCTGTAGCAAATGTAGCAACGTAGCAAATATATAGTCATGTATACCAACTATTATCTGTAGCAAATGTAGCAACGTAGCAAATATATATAGTCATGTATATATACCACCTATTATCTGTAGCAAATGTAGCAACGTAGCAAATGTATAGTCATGTATATATACCCATGACTATTATCTGTAGCAAATGTAGCAACGTAGCAAATATATATAGTCATGCATGCATACCAACTATTATCTGTAGCAAATGTAGCAACGTAGCAAATATATATAGTCATGCATGCATACCAACTATTATCTGTAGCAAATGTAGCAACGTAGCAAATATATAGTCATGTAGGCCTATATTGTATACCAACTATTACTGTAGCAAATGTAGCAACGTAGCAAATATTTTTAGTCATGTATACCAACTATTATCTGCATGTAGCAATGTAGCAAATATATAGAGTTATATATATTTGAATGCATACCGCGACCTCTGTCTGTTGCAAATGAAGCAATGTACTGTAGCTCGACTGCCTCGTGTATATGCATTCTGTCTCCAACGCAAAGGATAACATAGATGCCAATAAGAGTCAGGCTGGTATATAACAGATTTGTAGACATCAGTCTGTCTTTGTAGGATTATGTACCCATGAAGGGCAGCTTAAGGATGGATTTTGAAGCTCGGCGTTGAATGCGCTCTATCTTTCTGACTACACTGTAAATTAAAAAGGGCTGAAACGACCCCAAATATGGGGCCAAAACGGTGACCGCAAAATAGATCTTTTTGGGGGGTCAAAATGGCACCTATAACAATGCGGCCCCTAAGGGGTGATTTGGCCCTTCCAGCGTAAGGGCTGTTTCAGCTTTTAGTAGGAGCTGTTTTGGCAAAAGCAGGAGCTATTTCAACTTTCAATAGGGGCCAATTCAGAAAATTAGGGGGCTATTTTGGCATTTCGAGGAGTTAATTTGGCTCCCATTTGTGGTCATAATGAACCCCCAAAAGCGTTGATTTGGCTCGCTAACCGGAGCTGTTTTGGCTACTGAGTTACAGAGTAGTTTCAGCCCCAATGAAGAGCTGCTTTAGAACCGAAGGAGCCGATATAGCTTTTCTAATGGTGTAGTTTTTTAGCACCCAAAGGGCCAATATGGTTCTATTTCTGAGCCATTATAGACCACAAGAAAGGCCAATTTAACCCCTACTTTTTTAACCAGAGCTATTTTGGCCCTCCCAGAGGAGCACAGTTTCAGCCCCAAAGAAGAGCTGCTTTAGAGCCGAAGGAGCTTAAATTCCCATTGGTTCACCTATACAGTCACACAACCATTGTATATTAGTAGCTAATATAGGCCGGTCCTAGGACAAAATGGTTAATACTTAATGTAAGGCAAATTATAGTGGATCCAGCCAAATATGGGCATGCCTGGAATGAGATTCCCGGAATTCCGTTTTCCCGGAATAGAATCGATGACGTCACTTCCGGTCCCCAATCCTCCGCGCCACCCTGAGGGTCCTATGCCTACCGGCCACCACCCCCACCACTCGCGCAGCCATGGTCACGCACACCTCCCCCACCCATCCGCCACATCCTCCGCAAGCCCACCGCGTCCCACAAGCTTGTTGGAGTCTTGGTGAGGGTACCGGTTTAAAAGGAAGCGTTCCTGTAAAGAAAAGTATGGATACCGCCTTTGGAAAGTCTCTTATAGTCTTTTAGAGACTATATATAAAAAGGTCCAATTACAAGAACATGAGCATTATTTATGTGGCGTACTTGGGCTCTATCGGTTGGAACTTTGATGGACCGGCTCCAGGTCGGGAATTATTATACGGCATGGATTCCCCACTTGCAAAGACCCTTTCAGCATACCATGAAGAGTTGCGTCCACCCCGGGAGCCGAGGAATAGGAGCAGGGACATGGTGCAGCTTTTTGATATAGCGGAAATGGAGTACTTGGATTTCCTTGCTTCGAAGGAACCTGTCAAGTTTCCCGACAAACACTTCTGTTCCGAGGGACGTAAGCATCAGCTTATTGATATAGATGGGGGAAGGACGTGTCGTGAATGTGGACTAGTGGTTGGTAGGACCCGTTACGTTTCCGAATACGGCTGCTGCGACAGGGCAATTATGAAGCGTAAGCCAGCTACCATCGACTCCAAGGTCTCTAGTTTTATAAAAAGGAAGGGTGTGTCAGGGTATGAGTTGTTTGGGAAAGGATCGTCTGAGGTTATAAATAAAATTGTTGTAGTTTGCGAGGCAGAGGAACCTAAGGGGAAGAGACTGCCTAATCTTAATATTATTAGTTATCAGGTATGTAGACGACTTGGTGTGGAGGCTGACTGGTCTTTACTTAAGATTCCTAAGGGGAAGGCTCCCCACAACCGGTGTAGAAAAATATTTGAGACATTAGGTTGGGATTACATCTAATAATTTTAATGTTTATTAAAACCATATTAAAATTGAAGTAATAGTCTTAGGGTAACGACAATAAGAAGTACCTTAACCGTTATCGGGATCAATAGGCAGCTGATCAGGCACAGCCACATCAGTTTCCGCGGTACCTTCATCGTTTTGTTTGTCGTATTTTTTTACCGTTGCGCTGGCGTAACCGATGTGAGTATGTGCGCTCATCGTGATGTCTCCTCGTTCAATACCGATACCCAGGTTAAACATTTTTCTCCTTTTATGATTTTTGTTGTGCTTTACCCTGTTTGCGGTTTCATGTTTTGTGGACAGACATCCCATTCTTTATTTAACCGGAAAATAAAATGCCATTCAACATGATTATCGTAGGTATGACGGCCTGTGGGAAGGCGCATTACCTCATTCAGGAACTAAAGATGACGTTCTTCCATCAATTTGAAAATATATTCCTGATTTGTCCCACTTATCACTGGAATAAGACCTATGATCAGGATTTCATTCATGAAGACAACAATTTCTTTGTTATTCCATGTCGGCATGATGACGTGGAGGATTACCTTAAATTTGTAGTGGACTTCACCAAGGGAAGGGAATCTCTCATCATTTTGGATGATTGTGCCAGCACTAAGTCCGTGAAGGACCGTACGGGGGAGTTGGTTGATCTTGGGTTTAGCGCACGTCATATGAGTATTTCTACCATTGTTATTACTCAGCAGCTGACCTCCATTGCTAAACCGTACAGGCAAAATATTTCGAAATTAGTAACGTTTTATAATCCTGATAGGCAGGACATGAAGATTATTTTGGATGAATACCTTCTTGTTGACAATGCAGAAATGAGATCTATTAAGGAAAAGTTGAAGGAGAATAAGTATGCTCATCTTGAAGTGGATTTGGTACATCCGTTCAATCACGAGGTAAAAGTTCCTGTATTATAATAAAGAAGGATGGAACAAGAACCACCAAACGCAGAGAATACGGAAATAGAGGACGGTAGGGCAGAGCTTGTTCGCCTGTCTAATGCTGGAGAGATTATACGGTCCGAAAGTTATCTGAAGAAGGCATCCGGGAAGGTTATCATGAAGATACGGAGGGAATATATCGTTGCACAGAGGGAAAAGACAAGTGTGGTACTGGCAGAGGCTTTAATTGAAAAGTTTTCCGATCTTATGGAGGCTATCAATATGGTGGATAGTGGGAGTGAATTAAGAGAGGAATTAAATCAGGATAAACTGTTTAAGAGTGATGTCAAAAGTGTAGTAGCAAAGCTGTCTCCATACATACCCTACCTAGGTATTGTTAGCGGTGGAGTGACGACAGTGAAACATGTTTATCGGAAAGCACCTGAACAACCACCTTCTGAAGATTCGAAGGACTGGAGACTGATGATCAAGCATAATAATTTTCCAAACTCTGTTGAGTATGGAAAAAACTGTGGTTCTCGGATAATTTAGTACTTTATTCCAACAAGTTGTCCGTTTGCGATCTTGATAACACCGTCGGAAAGGACGAACATGTAACATATAACATTTGCAGTTGTAGCTTTCTTTTTCATTTCCACCAGTACCCCCGACTGGGTGTTCTGGATTTTAGCACCATTTCCATATGTTCTGGCGTCGTTCGCGGTTCTGAGGTCGATAACCAGCGCAAACTTTTTATCCTTGAGGAATCCGGTTAGCGTCTGGTGGCTGATTCCGTCGGTACCGAACACCGCCTTGCTTCGTCATACAACCTTGTTTTCGGAGTACCCTGACTGTAGACTGCGCCGGGAACACCCACTATGGTTACCCTAACCTTTTCGATATTTGGATAGATGTATTCCTCGCTGTCTGTTATTGTTTTGTTCGTGAATAGCATGACGATGGCTTTCATACTCCTGCGGGGTAGGTTTATGTTTTCCTTTCCCCAGTAATTTCCGTCCAATTCATACGTCGGAAGCTTGGCATAAGTTCAGTTGTCCGGTCCATTATGTTTTTATTATAGTATAACTTTATTTCTTTCGTTTACTTTGTAGGTACTTGTATATAGCTCCGGCAATTAGGATCGCAACAATCCATAGATTTTGGGCAAGGAAGGCGAGACCCTTAGCTCCCCAGCTTAGGATAGTACTTAGTAGGTTTAGGATAGGTACTAGGATTGGTAGTGCGGATTTTGCAAGTCCAGCCAGTGCTTTTCCTACAGCTCCTAATCCTTTGGAGGCTCCCACGATGGTTTCTTCCCAGCTACCACGACTGTAGTTATGATTCCGGCGATGGAAATAACAATAGCGGCTAGTGTGGCTAGGTTTTCCTTTGCCCATTTGCGGAATCTTTCGAATTTTGTCCTGATATTTTCTCTTACTATTTCCCTATACCTGCGTTTTCCCTCCTCCGTTTGGGGTTGCTGACCCATCTCTAGCCTACCGTCGTTGATACACTGTTCGGCAACATCCCTACCCTCTTGCATAATTTGTTGTCTTTCAGGATCTGTTTCGAGTTCTATATTGGTTTCAAATACTTTCTTCTGTTCCCTTAAGGCTTCAATCCTGACTTCGGGGGGTCCTTTGGGGGCGGTTACTCCCGCGAATTCCCTCCTCTCCTGTATGGTTATTTTTCCCCTTTCCTCTAACTCTCTTGCGTGTTCCACGAGGTTGTCGCCTGTGTCGGTGACTTCCTGGCGGAATTCCTCCTCTGCATCCTCAAAAATTTCTTCTACGTTTGCCCTTGATGTTTCTCTTCCGGTCTCCTCTTCGACTACACTTTTGGCTTTACTCCTGTGTTCTTTGAGTGTTTCTGCGTACAGCCTTAAAAATGCCTTTACAGATCCGGCGGATTTTTTATCCTTAGACAAATTGTATGCACCACGCGTATCGATGTATGCAACATCATTTCCGCTAAATGTTAGCTTATTCTTAGTGAGGTCCAGACGGGAGACAAGTTCTTTAGAGTTTTGTCCGTCGGTTGGGTCTATTCGGTACTCGGTTTGAAAGAGCCTCCTAACATATATTCTACCTTTATGTCATCAAATTTTCCGTATGTGCTTAGTTCGTCTAACTGCTTTTTCTTATTCCTGTAGGAGTCATCCCTATTCTCTTCACGGAAACTGGAGGTCTTTGCATCGTCTAGTCTTTGATCGTCGGTTAGTCCTGATAGAAAGTCATCCTCGTCAATAGGTGTATCATCAATAACTGTATCGTCCTCACCCCCTTCGGCTCCTTCCGGCAGGTTAAGGTTGTCCAGCTCTGTGTTATCCTCCATTTTTATTTAAGTCTAAAGATAATTCCTGTTCATAATACCTCCCCAAAATATCCTCACCATCCTCCGGATCCTTAAGACTGTACATATTGGGGTCTCCCCGGAACACCGCTGTAACGACGTATACTTCGTTGTCAAAATTTGGTTCGTATCCCTTTTCGAAGGTCTTGTGCTTTATTTCCACCCTAACGTGATCCCCGACTTTAAATTTGGGATCCGGAAAACTGCTTAGTGGATATCCGTAGATTCTTGTCCAAACTTCATCTTTATTTTCCTCATTCACATCCGCTGGTTTCATTCCTATTGTCCTGCGTGTGGAATTATTATAGGATCTAGCGAGAGCGGGTAAGATGTCTACCCAAACTTTTGTCCTGTTTTCCGTAAAGTATTTCCACATCCTTGTTTTCAGGGTCCTATTGAATCTCTCGACAAGTGCGGCTTTCCGGAAGGTTCTTGTGGAAAAGTAGTGAACATCGTGATCTTTTAGCAACGTCTTTACTCCTACATTGTAGAATTCCTTTCTATCGTCGAACTGTGCCGTTTTAAGATACCTACCAAATCTTTCCTTAAATTGTATGAGAACATTTTCGACAGCCTTCGTCATGCTTGCGGTATTTTTCCTCCATACGGGAACGGCAAAGGCATATCGACTCAGGACCTCTATGACAGTTAGGATCTAGCGGTTTCCCTTGTTCCTGTGGCTAAATTTACTCATATCCACAAGGTCCATGGGTCTGGAGGCATTCGCCCACCAGAAAATTTTGGATTTCTTGAAGCTCAGATAAGCTATTTCCCACATTTTGAGGAGTTTTCCAACAAGAAATTAACCTTACACTAGTCCCTGAATATTAAACCAGCTGATCTTCTGGGACTGGTCAAATCGATCCCTGCAACCATGCTGTTTTGCAACATTTTTTCCCCACCACATACTGGGGCAGGATATTCCCCCCCCCCAATTTGTTGGTGCAGATATTTTTTTGTTCAGAATAGCCTTGCAGGAATTTTTTTCAAAATCACCCCCCCCCCCTCTCAAAAGTTAAATGGTCGGCCCCTTAGCTTAGTTATTTAATTTTGACGAGCCTTTTGCAAAATGCTACAATTTTTTGGTTTTGTTGACAACTATAAGTTATAATGTAATTTAACTAAATAATGAAAATTTGTTATTGGCAACTTTAATATTTATACGCACGTCTCAAACTTTTTATTCTCTAAAAATGTAATGAATTAAAAGTAACAATTTTATTCGCAAAAAATCGTTTAAGACCTAAAAAAAGCAACACATGCACTGTTACAAAGCGGATTATAGTTTTAAATTAAAATTTAAAATGTGTCTAAACATAAACGTTTTAAAATTTTACTGTAATATTCTTTCAAATATTTACATTTGTATCGAGGAAATGAAATCAGCAATATCACGAGATAAACGTTGCTATATTGTTATACAAACCACGGAATTATAGCATGGAGCATCCGATTTTCCGCTTTCTGAGACTCCAAAATATGTAAAATTAAACGTATTCTAATTCATATCACGAACATATACCATCGAACAAGGTGTTTCGTCAAGCCTAACGCCGAGGGGTAAATTACTCTGAAATTCTTCGCGGTACACTTCATCAAAAATCCCAAAAACACTTTGGAAAAATCTCAAAATCTTACTGAATCCTAGAATAAAAAAATCCCAGGAAATCCTCCTACTTGCACACTATATATACCTGCTCATCGTCGTGATCGATCGTAAAATGTACCAAATGTCAAATAAACGATTTTTCGATTATTTTCTCAGCAAAAACACTTATCCAAACATCATCATGTTCACATCCCGTCTTTATAAGTTATGAGACGAAATGAGGTATTTATTGAACAAATTTATTATACGAGCTGAGTATAGACAGTACGTGACACCGATAGACCAGTGACTGGACAATTCTTCATTTGTATACTGCGAAATAGTATCAGAATAACTCATGCATTATTTTATTAAATAATTAAATTAATTTAAATATAAGTTTGTAGAACAGCTGTTAGGTAACTCAAGTTTAAGTTCATTGTCACAGATAAACATGAAATATATGTAAACGTTTTCTCAACCTAAAACAGTAAATGCAAGCTAAATCTAAGACCTATAATATTGATATCAGGAGCGGAATGAATCGAAACGTCAGAAAAAAACTAGATTATATCATAGTATCAACTTAATATGCATGTGACATTGTGACCATAATCTGTTGAGTTATTGTTAATATAAGTTGACTACTTGAGTGGTTAGTCCTGTTGAAATTATTAAATGACTATTAACTGACTAGATAAATAATATTTTGAAAAGAATCTGAAAAAAAACCAGGGAAGATATTTTGAAAAGAATCTGGAAAAAAATCAGAAAATTCCTTAAATTTTGGGAAAAAATCCCGAGAAAAATTGCCGTGATATTCTAATCCCAAAAACCTTACCGTACGCTTTTTTCAGAGTAATTTACCCCTCGCCCAACGCAACACCCCTGTCATATTTCATGTCAGTCCTCTGATATCACTCACGGCTATAAATTAAAACCGGAAATTTTCCGGTAACACGGATTGATGACCGACAGCTTTTGCTCAACAATATCTATGGCTATAACGTGGTTCGAACTGAAAGTGATAAATGCACAAACATCGCCACACTCTGGTGCTGACTTATGCGGCTACACGCTACTGCTTACGCAGTAGACGCAAAAACGCCTTGCCTTTTGGGCCATTGAATATTGTACTAGCGTATGCCAGCATATGAAAAATATCACTCACACGCTCGGCTGGTATACGCTGACATACGCTAGGGGGACGTTACGCACAGGTTGTATACGTTTCAAGCACGGTCGCATACCGCGGCATACGGTGGCATACGGCAAGACAGAAACATTTTTTCAAGCATGCTTAAAAATTTTGTGCGTATTCGGACGTATGGTTTATACGATAAGCATACTCTAGGCATACGCTGAATACACTAGAGGTTCGCCAGATGTACAGTACTCATACGCTGGTATTTCAAAGGATTTTTGTAATTTTGTGCGTATGAAAATTATTTCATTAAAACCATTAATTTTCATACGCCTCTCATATGTTTCTCTCATACGCAATAGCTTGACAGGCTAGGGCCTTTTCTTAATAGTATTATACAAAGGTCCAATAAAGTTTCTTTATGCAACAAGCATCGACATTGATAATAATCAACAGCTAATAATACTAGGTACAAAGCACAATAGTCTGGAAAAGGCAAATGATTCTTGCGTGAATATATTAACGGAGGTCACAAAAAAATCGCTATGTTTAAAGCTCACATCTGCGTATTGTTTCCGTGTCTGTGGTAAATGGATCAGGTAAGCTCGTTGATTTGTTAATATATTCACGCAAGAATCATTTGCCTTTTCCAGACTATTGCGCTTTGTATATAATATTATTAAGTGTCGATTTAAGCGCTTTGGTTTCTTAAGAGATATAAAACCTTTGCAAAATGAACGGCCAAGTAAATTCAGTCTATAGATAGTTTGGAGTTATAGATTCATTAGAATGCCATCCAACTGTGAAAGGAACTAGACGCAGTATTAAATAACAATGTCAATACCTGGTATTCAATACTACAGTAGTTGTGCCATACGAAAACAATTTAAAACCCTTGCAAAGTGTGCCCTATTGAGAGTTAGAGATATATCTATTGCTCTGGCTTGCTTTTCCTCATCTCTCACTTCACGAAAAGCTTTTTTATATATAATGTGCGTCTTAGAAGATCGCTCAAGCTGTTATATGATATGTTTTGCGTCCCCTTCGATTTGCTACATTTGCTACAATTAATTAGTGGACAGCCAATCAGAGACGTCCTTCTTCAAGCTGAACCTCTACTGATACACTTGGCTCTAAGATATCATGTCTTAAATCGTTAAATTGTCGAACCATTTTGTTCTGTTGTCTAACTTTATCCACTGTTTATGTTGCTCTTCCTATTATTGGATCTATTAAAAGTACATGGTAATTGCAGTCTGCGTTCTTGTTCAAACTAAATAAAATATAATTGCAAAATATCTTGGTGCGCATTCACGCAATTATTCGCGCAATTAAATGATATATTTATTGTTCATATAACCAATTGCCGCGTACTACACTAATTATCGTATGTTTATTGCGTTATTTACAGGGTGCGCAAATATAAATTGCTGAATGATATATACTGTATATTCTACACAGAATGCATGTAAGTAAATCGGCCTCATTTGGCGCTCGTTCAACTTGCATCAGTGGAAATTTGTTTCACGCCTTTATCACTGGTACATCATTTAATTCTTGTAGGAGCTATAGTGTACACCAAAGCTTGCGTCAAACACGTTACGAAATCTTTCTCGTATTCAACAAGCAAACGTGGTCGTTGTGCAAAGGCTTTTTTGTGTATTATGTACAGTATTATCTGGGTGTCAAAGGAATTTGAGCTTGCCTTTTAGTTTAGTTTAGGTATGCCAAATATGTTGCGTGCTTGCCTGAAGGTCACGGTCACACTAAAAAACGTACATGTTGCTTGCTATATTTTGCAATAATTTTATATATGTACTGTCTATGCAGAAAGCGGCTTTATACAGTACTCGCTGTATATCGATTATTAACGATTCAGCCAGATGTAGAAATAGGCTCGATAACTAAAAAAATCGTAAGTCAACAATATGTCAATATACAGTACTTGAACAGAATTCGTTGATTGCATGCCATACCAACTAAATTTTGTTATTGTATTCGGTTGCATGTGCGCATTTTGGGTTCAAGCAAGCATTCTAGCATAACTGTCACCGCGAGTCTGCGACCTTACAAAGTAATTAAAGATTATAGATTCAATACCTTCGCTTCAAAGCATGTCCCCTGGATTTTCTAGCATGCAAGTGGACAAATTCCCCCCTGGAAAGTGACTCATAACAAATTTCATTCCCTATCTCATTAAAGTTCGACAATTATAGCTAAAAATACAATCTAATTTCAGGAATGATGAAAGTTTTTCCCAAGACAAACATATTAAATGAGGAAAAGAGTCCCAAAGATAAAAATCTGGTGTTCATATAAGGTATATGTTAAGTTTATCATTTACAGTATTCAAATAAATATTAATAAAATTAATCCAGGTATATCAATAATAATTAATTAAGTGGATCCCTAAAAACCCAACATTCATGAAGTCCAAAAGATCACCTCTGGAACTGCCAACATATATGGGAAAGAGTTTAAAATCAGACATTCACTTATCACAAGTATCTACAGTATAGTATACTGTAGGTTAGACCTGCCATTTTTATAATAGTATAATAAGAATTAATAAAAATAAAATATATTAACATAAAATAGATAATATTTTTCCATTTTAAACCTTATTGCTAAGTGTTATCTCTCTCTCTGTTCTCTACGACCATACTAATTGGCATGGATTTTGATGCTGTATAATAACAGTTGAATAATATATAGGATAATAACAGTTGATAATATATAGTATTTTGAAATGTCTCTATACATGCTGAAGTTTTGAGTTGGCACGACTTGAAACAGAACGTGAGGTGGCACGCCATGCGAAGTATAGGGAAATTTTAGCAATCTTATGTAT